GATATCTCCATTAGATATTGAAACTTATGCTAGTTTGTCATATAATTGTTAGTTAGTGTACTTCTAGTTGGAAAGCATTCAATTGCATTTAACCTTGAGTGGGTCAACTCAGTGCAACAAAAATAACTTTAGCGGTATTAAATATTAACACTAATAAAAAAGTGTTAAAGTCTTTACCTGCATTAGTTAAGTGTCATTAGAACTAATGTCGTTAAAGATTTTACGAACATATACAAAGAGTGACAATTACCGCTAAAGTTACATATTTAGCAACAATTAAAAATTAAATACCGCTAAAGATCATTTTTGTTGAAGTGAGTCTACTAGAGAAATATTTCTAGTATGTGGATTTTATTGGTCTAAAACATTATAGTCTGTATTATTTTATAAAAAAATTATGTGACATGGTAAATTAAGGCCTTATATTTAATCAAAATAGTGGTTAAATACTTCCACTATATAATGATAGTTTGAGATTTTATAACAGATATGTACAAAATATATTTTTAAGTGTGTAGACATATTTTATTTCATAATTAGTTTTTTTTTTTGATAAGTCTAAATTTACATAAGGCTATATAAGTTTTATCTATTATTTTAATACCTTTTTAGTTTTCTTTTGAATGTGGCAGGCTTAGAGACTGTTTGGCTTAGCTTAAAAGCTGGTCTAATTGACTTAAAAGCTGGTTTTTGACTTATTTAGCTGTTTGGCAATACTCAAAATAACTTATTTTAAGTCAAAAGTTAAAAGCTGGGGTAGATGTGCTTTTTTTTTTAGCTTATAAGTTGTTTTAAGTTGACCACATTTTTACCTTTTTGCCCTTAATATTTTTATACAATCTTCAAATTACCCACATAATCCTAACATCTCTTTCTTCCATTTTTCCTTTTTTCACGTTTGGCATAGCTGTTGAACTTCTTCCGGTTCTTTCAATTTGAAGTGAAGATAAACCTTGAAGTAAGTTTTTTTGATTATTTTTTTATTAGCTTTCTTCTTTTATTATGTTAACAACTTTTAAGGGTATTTCAGACATTTTGATTTAAAAAGCTGTTTATCAGCATTTATTTGCCAAACACATCAACAACTTTTTTTTTTAACTTCAGCACTTTTATCCAAACGCATAACTGCTTATTTTAAAAATAAATTTCAGCACTTTCAAAAGTACTTTTGTAAAGTTGCTTTTATTAAGCCTATCCAAACGGGCCCTTAGTAAAAAAATGTGTTCTTTAACAAAATATTATTTTTTATTTTCAAAATTAGGGGTAAAGGAAGGGAATTATGGAGAGTTGAA